CATGGTCAGGGGCTCTTCTAAACACATGACTCTGCTCGTACATGAGTAGGGGACATTGCCATAAAGTTTCAGCTTTCTAGCTTTTCCCGTTCTGGGCTAGTAATTTTCGCGCCAAAATTTCTACGCGCTCGTAAGTGGGCTCAGGCGCTTCTAAACACCTGGTTTTGCTCGTACATGAGTAGGGAACATTCCCTCAAAGTTTCAGCTTTCTAGCTTTTCCCGTTCCCGGGTTAGTGATTTTCGTGCCAAAATTTTCACGTGCTCGTGCGTGAGCCTTTGGCGGTCCTAAGGAGCTAAGTTTGAAAAGTTTTGGTTGTGCATGAGTATGGAACATCCCCCCAAAGTTTTAACTTTCTAGCTTTTCTCATTCTTGAGTTATGAATTTTCCCGCCATAATTTTCACGTGCCCGTAAGTAAGCCCCGGGCACTCCTGGGCAGCTGAATTTGAAATTTTTTTGTCATACATGGGTAGGGAACATTCTCCCAAGGTTTCAGCTTTCTAGCTTTTCTTGTTCCCAAGTTAGCGATTTTCGCGCCAAAACTTTCACGTGCTCCTACGCGGGGGCCAGACGTGCGTGAGGGTTGAAACCGCGGTCCTGGGGTGGCACCTGGTTGGGGAACACTGGCAAAATTTCAGCTTCAAAGCTTGCGTGGTTGGCGAGTTTAAATACCTGGACAGACGAACAAACACACACATACACACACAAACATGCATACATACATACATACACACACACACACAAACATGCATACATACATACATACACACACACAAACATGCATACATACATACATACATACATACACACACACACACTGACAGGGTCTTGCAATATGCGTTTTTGCTGCCTGTTGCAGCGCTTTAGCGCTGCACGGCAAAAAAGCATAAAAAGTGGTGCCGAATGTGTGCACCAATTTTATTCATTGGCAGTGTCTGATAAGTACCGAATCTCTGCTTTCGTCGGATTGGATTAATTTTCTGTTTGCTTGTATAGCCCTTGCCATCACATCGTCACCGTCTGTATAGTTGTTTTTGTGGTACTGCGGCCGAACCTTACGGACCAAGTGCAAATTAAATTAGTCCACGGGGGCCTCAGTTGATCTTCTCCTCAACTTCGTTTAGGCATGGCGTAAGTTTAGCAAAAAAATTTTGGATTGCTCACTGCTTTTATTCCTGTTTTATGTGACCCAAATCTGTTTGTTTAATTCTTTACTGTTCAATTTCCCGATGACAGAGTGTAAAATTTCAGGCCTGTATAATTTCAGTCAATAAGCTTTCACCTATTGCCCAGAAACAGTCTCCAGAATTTAAATCAGTTTTCCGGAGAAATGGTTGTTGAATGAGTTGTTGTTTTTGTTGTCCCGACCCTCATTCTCT